CTGATTTTTTTTATTTATTGTAGAGATGAGGTCTTGCTGCCCAGGCGGGTCTTGAACCCGGGCTCAGGCAATCCACTCACCTTAGCCTCCCAAAGGCGCAGGATCTTCTGTGCAATACTTTGCATCTTCCATGCAGCATCAGATCGTACCCCAGACAGCCACATATGGGAACTGATCTCTTTTTAAATAAATCTTTTCTTTCTTTGCCTCTTTGTTAAAAACAAACAACAACAACAACAAAACAGAGAAGAGGTCACTAGTGTGGGATTACATGATGGCTGGTGTCCTTATAAAAAGAGGAAGTTAGCCGGGTTTGGTGGCTCAGCCTGTAATCCCGCGCCTTTGGGAGGCTGAGGTGAGAGGATTGCCTGAGCCCGCAGGTTTGCAACTCACCTGGGCAACTTGCCGAGAACTCATCTCTACAATAAATCAAAAAATAATTAGCCGGGCCTGGTAGCACTCGCCTGTAGTTCCAGCTACTTGGAAGGCTGAGGCAGAAGGATCACCGTAGCCCAGCAGGTCAAGGCTGCGGTGGCCGGGAGCAGCCACTGCACTCCTGTCTGGGCGACAGAGTGAGACTCCAACTCAAAAAAAAAAAAAGATGAAGTTAGGATATGGACACACACACACACACAGGGAGAGCCCCAGATAAAGGTGGAGATGGCATAATGGCCTAATAAGCCAAGAAACACTCAAGATGACGGTATACCATGAGATGCTGGAGAAACAGAGAACAATTTTCCGAGCCCTCAGAAGGAGCCAGCCTCACTGACACCTTGATCTGGCACTTCTAGCTTCCAGATCTGTGCAAGAATTTCTGCTGTTTAAGACACCCAGTGGTCCAGAGGGTATCAATGCTGAATGCAGAAGCTGCCACACACTGGGCACAAGCCACCTGCAGCATGTCTCTTCTTGCATCCCTCTTTTGAGCACTAGTAGATCAAAATCTCTTTATTATTCGCAAGATGATGTTTACAGTCTCTATCCATGCGGTCGCCAACCTCATCTGGTACGTGTCTCTTTTTTTTTTTTTTTTGAGTTGGAGTCTCACTCTGTCATCCAGACTGGAGTGCAGTGGCGGCTCCCGGCCACCGCAGCCTCGACCTGCTGGGCTCCAGCGATCCTTCCACCTCAGCCTTCCAAGTAGCCGGAATTACAGGTGCGCGCCACCCACGCCCGGCTGATTTTTTGATTTATTGTAGAGATGAGGTCTCGCCAAGTTGCCCAGGCAGGTCTCGAACCGGCGGGCTCAGGCAATCCACTCACCTCAGCCTCCCAAAGCGCGGGATTACAGGCTGAGCCACCGAGCCTGGCTGGTACCTGTCCCTTTTTTACTGGGCTGGGGATACCCCGAGCACACTGGGACCTCAACATCCTTCTTGAATGCATACGGACGTTTATGTGCAGCATATGTGAAATGATCGTCACAGAAAGCTTGTTTACACGCATCCCATTTTACTGGAAGGAAATCTGGCTGCTTGCACTTTTTTTCTGAACAACGTTTCCCCAAATCAGGAAACTCCATTGTGAGAAGAGTGTTGAAAACACAGATGACAAAGTTAAATATCACCTGACTCTCGTCGGGGATCCGAGAAGCTGCAGGGGCCAGAGGAAGGTGGCGAGTGTCCCTCTCCCGGGAAGCGAGGTCGAAACGACGAGGACCCCGGACCCCAAGGCCCACCTTCGCCCACTGCATAATGCATCTCGCTACCCGGAGCCCCCGGCATTTATTCGCCGCCGCCTGGTCCGAGAGGCGCCGCGGCCCCACGAGTTCCCGGCGCGCACATGTGCTAGCTATTCTTATGTTCGATTAACTGCCTCCTTTTTTATGAAAATAAATGCTTATTGGGGAAAAAAACTAAGAAAAATTAAAAATCACTTATAATTTTACTACTCAGAAGCAATCATTGCTAACCACTTACTGTATTTTCTCAACACGATGCCATTAGCTTAGCCATAACAAAGCCCCGCCTTCTTTATGCCGTCACACGAAGCCGCGCCCCAGACCGCCGCATGCGCACTCGCAGAGGTCGAAAGGGGGCACGCGGCAGACCCCGCAAACGGAAGTGGTGCATGGCGCATGCGCAGTGACGACGAGGAGGTTGCGGAAAATACCGGCCGGCCTGCGTGCTGCGCTCTTTTCCGGAAGTGGCTGCTGCAGCGACATGCTCGCGGAGCTCGGTTTCATCGGGACCATCGGCGAAGATGACGAGGTGCCAGTGGAGCCGGAGTCTGACTCCGGAGACGAGCAGGAGGAGGTATAAGTCGGTCGGGGTGGGGACACGGCTACGGTCCCTCTGGGTTTCCTTGGCTTGTTTCCCTTCTGGTGACTTCTCACGCCTGACCCCAAATCTTCAGCATCCCCTGCCTGGCCGAGAGGCTTCCCGAGAAGGGTCTCACCGGGACCCCGAGATCTTCCTTAGTGTGCTCGCCACTAGTTTTTCTCCCACCTCGGTGCCTTTGCCCGTGCCATTATTTGTCTCCTTTGCTGGACTCTGTATTCATTTACTGAATCGATATTTATTCCGGGCCCTGAGTTCGGGGGATCCAGGGATGAAGTCAGCCTTGGTTTCTGCTCAAGGGACCACGATCATCCATCCATCCTGCGTTTATTGAATGCTCGCGTGTGCTAGACCCGTGTTAAGCGTTGGGCACACGGCAATTAACAAGATGCCCTCTACTCTCCTGAAGCTTATTATGGTGGCATGGAGGTTACATATATGGTGGCATGGAGTCTCACTCTGTCGCCCAGACTGGAATGCAGTGGCCGCTCCCGGCCACCACGACCTCGACCCACTGGGCTCCGGCACTCCTTCCACCTCAGCCTTGCAAGTAGCTGGAACTACAGGCGCGCTACCACACCCGGCTAATTTTTTGATTTATTGTAGAGATGAGGTCTCACCAAGTTGCCCAGGCGGGTCTCGAACCCGTAGGCTCAGGCAATCCACTCAGCTCAGCCTCCCAAGGCGTGGGATTACAGGCTGAGCCACCGAGCCCGGCTGAGGTTACAGATATTAAGCAGTGTATCTGCTGAGAGGGAATCAGTGTTGTGGAAAAGTGGCTTGTCTTTCAAAGATTCAGCCCAGGTATTGCCGCCTCTGCACTCTCATCTGCCTGCTTGACACATCAGTTTGGATGACCCATGGCCTCTACAAATTAAGTTCCCCTAAAGCTGAACTCTCACTGCTCCTCACCCTCCCATCCTGTTCTCATCTCAAGCAAGAAACAAACAAAGACTTGGAATCATTTTCTTTCTTTCTTTTTTTTGAGTCCAGTCTCACTCTGTCACCCAGGCTGGAGTGCAGTGGCATGCTCACAGCCACCGCAGCCTTGATCGACCTCCTGGTCTCAGGCGATCCTTCCACGTCAGCTTTCCAAGAAGGTCTTGCCAAGTTGCCCAGGCTGGTCTTGAACCCCTGAATTGCAGCAATCCTTTCACCTCCACCTCCCAAATTGCTGGGATTACAGATGTGAGCCACCACTGTGCCCTGATGCATCTGCTGCCTCACTCCCTCCATTGACTGCAAGCTAGCTCATGAAACTCTCCTAAGCTTTTCTCCCCTCCATTCAAACTGTACCGCTCTAGTCCAGGCCACTGCCATCTAGGACACTGCAGTTCAAACATACCTCGTCTCCACTTCTTTCTCTCCTCTTCGTGACCAACACTCCAGTGTCACTCACTTCATTTCTTAAAAACATGCTTGGTTTTTCTCTGCTCAGGACCTTTTCCTCCTCTTCCTCTGCCTGGAACATATTTCCCTCTGTTTTGTCTAGAAGCCTTCAGTCGTCTATGACTGCATGTTACGCATGAGAAGTCTGTCCTGACACCTCTGCTTCCCCACCCCAAAGAGTTAAATGACTTATGTCGTCCCTCTTTGGTACCACTTATACAGTATTGTCGTTTTCTGTTATCTGCTGAGAGGCATTTTAGAATAGTGTTTGAGAGCTTAGGCCTGGGAACCCAAGTGTCTAGCTTGGATCTCACTTTTGCTACTTGGCAGGTGATGATCTTGGATAAGATACTTAACCTGTGTCTCTCTTTTCTCTTTGTGAAATGGAGGCAACGGTAGCACCTCATAGGGTTAAATAAGAGACTTAAATTGCGTTTATGTGCATATGTATATATACACATATAGTTACATACGTGTACGATACATAGCTAAGAATAATATGCTCAGTAATTACCTTCAAGAAATAGTAATTATTTATTTATTTATTTTTTGAGTTGGAGTCTCACTCTGTCCCCAGACTGGAGTGCAGTGGCTGCTTCCGACCACTGCAACCTCGACCTGCTGGGCTCTGGCGATCCTTCCGCCTCAGTCTTCCAAGTAGTTGGAATTACAGGCGCACACTACCACACCCAGCCAATTTTTGATTTATTGTAGAGATGAGGTCTCACCAAGTTGCCCAGGCGGGTCTCGAACCCATGGGCTCAGGCAATCCACTCACGTCAGCCTCCCAAAGCGCTGGGATTACAGGCTGAGCCACTGAGCCCGACTGTAATTATTTATTAGTCACTCTTCAGCTCATTGGGATTGAGAGTAGGGACTTTGTCTTCATTACGCCTTTTTTTTTTTTTTAAATTGGAGTCTTATTCTGCTGCCCAGGCTGCAGTGGCATGATCATGGCTACTGCAGCCTCGACCTCCTAGGCTCAGGCTATCCTTCTGCTTCAGCCTTCCAGCTAGAACTATAGGTGCGCTCCACCACACCCAGCTAATTTTTTGATGTATTGTAGAGATGAGGTCTCACTAAGTTGTCCAGGCTGGTCTCGAACCCCTGGGCTCAGGCAATCCTCTCACCTACCTCTCCCAGAGTGCTAAAATTACAAGCGTGAGCCACAGATCCTGGCTGATTATTCTTTTATCCTCTGTGCCTAGTGTAGGTACTCCGTATCTGTTTTTTCCCTCAGCTTTATTGAGGTATTATTGACAAATACAATTTTATAAGTGGAAGGTATACAATGTGTGATTTAATATATGTATGTATTGTGAAGTAGTTACTATAGTCAAATTACTTAACACATGTATCACCTATTATCATTATTTTGTGGTGAGAACATTTAAGATTTCTTTTTTTTTTTTTTTCTGAGTTGGAGTCTCACTCTGTCACCCAGACTGGAATGCAGTGGCCGCTCTAGGCCACTGCAGCCTGGACCTGCTGGGCTCCGGCCATCCTTCCGCATCAGCCTTCCAAGTAGCTGGAATTACAGGCATGTGCTACCACACCCGGCTGTTTTTTTTTTTTTAATTTATTGTAGAGATGAGGTCTCGCTGCCCAGGCGGGTCTCGAACCCGTGGGCTCAGGCAATCCACTCACCTCAGCCTCCCAAAGGCGCGGGATTACAGGCTGAGCCACCAATCTTTTAGCACATTTCAAGTTACACAATATATTGTTATTAACTGTAGTCACCTGCCAGGCACCGTATTTCAAGCCTGTAATCCCAGCACTTTGGGAGGCGGAGGAGAGAGGATTGCGTGAGCTCCCAGGTTCGAGACCAGGTCGTGGCTGTGGTAGCCATGAGCGTGCCACTGCACTCCAGCCTGACTCAAAAGAAAAAAAAAAAATCTCATGATGATTGTTGGTTCGATTCTTCTTGTGATCTGCCCTTTTCTGTGCTTTTCTCTCAGCCCCATGATCACTATGTCTCTCCCTCTTTTTCCAGGGGCCCATTGTGCTGGGAAGAAGGCAGAAAGCCTTGCAGAAGAACCGCAGTGCCGATTTCAACCCTGATTTTGTCTTCACTGAGAAGGAGGGCATGTATGATGGTAGCTGGGCTCTGGCTGATGTCATGAGCCAGCTCAAGAAGAAGGTGAGATGCCAGTGATGGGCGCTTTCAGACTTGGGACTGTCCCTGACCAGCCTTTACCATATGCTTTCTTTTTTTTTCCCTCTCCCCACCCCCCACCATGTGCTTTCATTCAACAGATCCTGGAACTCCTTAGAAAATACACAAGGGGCCAGGCTTGATGGCTCAGTCTGTAATCCCAGGACTTTGGGAGGCTGAGGCAAGCGGATTGCCTTAGCCTGTGGGTTTGAGGCCAGCCCAGGTAACTTGGTGAGACTCATCTCTACAATAAATAAAAAATTAGCAGGGTGTGGTAGTGCGTGTCTGTAGTTCTGGCGACTTGGAAGGCTGAGGCAGAAGGATTGCCGGAGCCCAGCAGGTCGACACTGGGGTGGCTGTGAGTGTGCCACTGCACTCCAGCCTGGGTGACAGAATGAGACTCCAACTTGAAAAATAAAAAAATAATAATAAAAAAAGAAATTACACGGGACAGTTTTGATGGATGGGGGAGGGATCACAACCCATAACCTTGATTAATTTAAAAGATAAATGTTATAAAATGGATTTATTGTAGACTTTGCAGACTGCAATTACATGCACATTCATTGTACAAGTACAATTTGGAAGGTTTTTTTTTTTTTGTGGTGAAGTCTCACTCTGGCCCAGGCTGGAGTACAGTGACACCATTATGGCTCACCATAGCCTCGATCTCCTGGGCACAAACAATCTTCCCACCTCAGCCTCCTGTGTAGCTGGGACTGCAGGCGTGTGCCACCATGTCTGACTAATTTTTTTTTTGAATTTTTTTATTTTAGAGATGAGGGTTTTTTTAGAGATGAGGTCTTACCATGTTGCCTTGGCTGGTCTTGAATTCCTGGGCTCAAGCAATCTTGCCTTTGCCTCTCAGAGTGCTGGGATTACCGGCATGAGCCATAGTGCTCAGCCTATATAATTTTAAATAGTAAAAACCTCCTAGAATGTGGATGTTTGTAGTGATTCTTGTTAATTTATAGTTTTTCCACAAATAGACCATTTATTTAATATGGATGTTTTCTTTGCCATGAATAATCTGCAGATTGATTAATCTGTCCAAGGACAGGCAAACTTTTTCTGTACTAACATTTTTAGACTCGCCCCTCAGAGAAACCTTGCTTGGTCTCTCTCCCACATGCATGTATTTTTTTCATCTCTTTATTTTTTTTCTACAGAGGGCAGCCACTACGTTAGATGAGAAGATTGAGAAAGTTCGAAAGAAAAGGAAAACAGAGGTAAGCAGAAGAGTAGTCCCTTCTAGTAGTTTCGCCCTGAGCTTTCCTCTTGGCTCGGCTCCATCTCCCTGTGAGCCCTCATGGAGTTGGGGTGCAGCCAGGGCAGGCCCTGTTCTCTGTGTGCCGTAGTTGGTCTTCACGAGGCATCCTCATAGCGTGTCCAGGCTTAGAGCTTTGTTCTGCTTTTCTTGGGTTCGGAATTTCCTGACGTTCGTTGTTGCCCTTAATTTTTATTTTTCCTCCAGGATAAAGAAGCCAAGTCTGAGAAACTGGAGAAGGAGAAAGAAGCAGAGGAGGGCCCTGAAGCGGAGGAGCAGGAGGGCCTTCAAGAGAAAGATGAGGAAGGCTCAGAGGACGAAGAGTCAGAGACCGACTATTCATCAGCTGAGGAGAACATCCTCACCCAAGCAGGTGGGCAGCATGCCATGGAGGCATCAGGAGGGAACAGGAAGCTGGAAGGCACCCACCTTTGTATAGTAGGAATTTCCCTGCTCTTCTGCACAAATATTTGTCTTTTTGTTGTTGTTGTTTATTTGTTGACTGAGTCTCACTCCATTACCCAGGCTGGAGTGCAGTGGCATGCTTGGCCACCGCAGCCTCTACCTGCTAGACTCAAGGTAGTCCTTTTGTCTCAGCCTTCCAAGTAGCTGGAACCACAGGCATGCACCACCATGCCCAGCTTATATTTTTATTTCAGAGATGAGTTCTCACCAATGCCCACACTGGTCTCAAACCCTTGGGCTCAGATAATCCTTTTACCTCCAGTTCCCAAAGTGCTGGGATTATACGCAAGAGCCACCGTGCCTAGCTGCAATTTTTTGTTTTTGAGTTGGAGTCTCACTCCATCACCCAGGCTAGAGTGCAGTGACACACTCATGGCTACCCCGGCATCTACCTCCTGGACTCTGGCGATCCTTCCGCCTCAGCTTTCCAAGTAGCCAGAAGTACAGGCATGCACTACCTCGCCTGGCTAAGTTTTTGATTTATTGTAGAGATGAGGTCTCACCAAGTTGCCTAGATTGTTCTCGAACCCATGGACTCAGGCAATCCTCTCACCTTGGCCTCCCAAAGTGTTGGGATTACAGGCTTGAGCCACTGTGCTCGGCCCACAATTTTTAATGATCCCCTCCCTGCTGCATTGACCTTTCTCTCTTTTTTTCTTTTTTCTTTTTTTTTGGAGGGGGAGGAGTGAGGTATTACTGTTGCCCAGGCTGACCTCGAGCTCTTGGGCTCAAGCAGTCCTCCCACCTCAGTCTCCTGAGTAGCTGGGACAATAGACGAGTGCCACCATTCCCTGGTTCTGAACTCCTGTCTGTTAGGGTCTCTCTTCTCTTGGTGTTTTGTTTGGGGTGTAGTATTTCCATGCCATTTGCCCCTTCCCCATCTCTAGCTCCACATAGCCGCTGGATGCTCCTGTGACTCAGACTTATTTGGGGTGACCCACACCTGATGGATCCCACACGTAGTAGATGCTCAGTTAGTATTTACTGCAGAATTGAGTGCTAAAGTATCATGATATAGCGTAGTGGCTGAGATCCTGCTCTCTGGACCCGACTAGCCAGGTTCACGTCCTGTCTGACCTCAGGTGAGTAGTTTCATTGCACTGCTGCCGTCTTCCCTTCTTTGAAACAAGGCTGGTGGCAGTCTCCCTCTCATAGTCTGACATGTGGATTTGGTGAGATCACTCATATTGGTAGTTAGGCCAGTGTCTGGCAGAGTGCAGTGTCTTGGGAAGTCAAAGCTGGGGTCATCAGCTCTATCTTTCTCCACAGACACACTCAAAGTAAAGGATCGGAAGAAGAAGAAGAAGAAAGGCCAGGTGAGTGGGGCTGGCAAGACCATGCATGTCTTGTTGTGGCCACCTGAAAGCGTTTTAAGGTCATGTGGCTTCCCTGGACCCTCTTTGCTGAATCCTCATTCTTGGTCTTTCAATTTTCTGCTATAGGAAGCAGGAGGATTTTTTGAAGACGCATCTCAGTATGATGAAAGCTTGTCGTTCCAGGACATGAACCTTTCCCGCCCTCTTCTGAAGGTAGCGACCGGGCTTCTGGCAGCCCCGGGTTTCCTACCTGGGTAGCTCCATCTGGAATCTCTGCTTCCCTCTCTTTGCCTCCTTTGACTCTTGTCCGTACAGCTGCCAAAGAACCCTCTTAAACAGTAGGCTCCATCCTGGCTCTCTTCTCCCAGCCCCTCAGTGGCTCTTAGTGTCACTTGGCTTAGAAACCAAAGTCCTTCCATTGACCTACAAGGCTCCGCCCCTGCTGGTCCCCTCTGATGACATGTTCTGGCCCTCGTTCTGCTATGGCCCTCTGGCCTCCTTGCTGGCTCTGATGGGTCAGGCATCCTCTTCCTCGGGGCCTTGTGCTTGCTGTTCCTTCTGCCTGGAAGACTCTTCCAGAAATCTATTGGGGTGCTCCCTCAATATCCCTTGCTCAAGGAAATTCTCCCCGATAGCTGTACCATGAACTCCCCACCCATTCACCCTGCTGCCTTCCCCTGCCTTCTTGACTGCTGTATTTTATCTCCATAGCATTTGTGTCCACATGACATGTGGTAGTTTTTTAGTTTGTTTCTTTCTGTCAGACAGGACCATTCCTGAGCACAGGACTTTTATTTCTTTTGCTTACTGCCATGTCCTCACGGTCTAGAACAGCACCTCATACGTAGTAGGTACTCAGTAAATGTGGAATGAGAGCTGGGCTCGGTGGCTCAGCCTGTAATCCCGTGCTTTGGGAGGCTGAGGTGAGTGGATTACCTGAGCCTGCAGGTTCGAGACCCACCTGGCCAACTTGGGGAGACCTCATCTCTACAATAAATTTTTAAAAAATTAGCCAGACGTGGTAGTGAGCACCTGTAGTTCCAGCTACTTGGAAGGCTGAGGTGGAAGGATCGCCGGAGCCCAGCAGGTCGAGGCTGCGGTGGCCAGGAGTGGTCATTGCACTCCAGTCTGGGCGACAGAGTGAGACTGACTCAAAAAAAAAAATGTGGAATGAGTGGCTGGAGGTATTGGTACAGTTACCTCTGGTCTGGAAGCCTCCTCTGCTGTGGTTGTGCTGAGGCCACCCCACCTTGCCTGACCCTGTCTTTTCTCCTCAGGCCATCACAGCCATGGGCTTCAAGCAGCCCACCCCCATCCAGAAGGCTTGCATCCCTGTGGGTCTCCTGGGGAAGGACATCTGCGCCTGTGCAGCCACGGGGACAGGTGAGAAAGATGGGGACGCAGGGCCGAGGGGAGGGTGTTGAACCCAGACAGGACACCAGGTTCACTTAGCAAAGGCGAGTTTTCTAAAGATGCTTGGTTTTATGAACTGTCCAAAAGTGTGCAGAAATTAATATTGGATTGGTGTTTTTTTTTTTATTTTTGAGTTCAAGTCTCATTCTGCTACCCAGACTGGAGTGCAGTGGCTGCTCCCGGCCACCCACAGCTTCAACCTGCTGGGCTCCGGCAATCCTTCCGCTCAGACTTCCAAGTAGCTGGAATTATAGGCGTGCGCTACCACACTCAGCTAATTTTTGTTGTTGTTGTTGTTGAGTTGGAGTCTCACTCTGTCGCCCAGACTGGAGTGCAGTGGCCGCTCCCGGTCAACGCAGCCTCGACCTGCTGGGCTCCGGCGATCCTTCCACCTCAGCCTTCCAAGTAGCTGGAACTACAGGCGCGCGCTACCACGCCTGGCTAATTTTTTTTGATTTATTATAGAGATGAGATCTCGCCAAGTTGCCCAGGCGGGTCTCGAACCCGCGGGCTCAGACAATCCACTCACCTCGGCCTCCCAAAGCGCAGGATTACAGACTGAGCCACTGATCCCAGCTGGATTAGTGGTTTTAATGGCTCTTGAAGTCTTCGGGGAGCTTTGCGTTGTCTTTGTAGCAGGAGTATACCGAGTGCCTAGTTTGTTTCTGCCCCGAGACAGATGGAACAGTATGGTTTTTTGTTTTGTTTTTTTTTTTGAGTCAGAACATAAAAGCCTGTCGTCCAGGCTGGAGTGCAGTGGCAAAGTCGTGGTCTCTGAAGCCTCCACCTGCTGGGATCAGGCCATTCTTCCTCCTCAGCCTTCCAAGTAGCTGGAACTATGACTGTGCACTACTTTGCCTGGCTAAGTTTTTGGTTTATTGTAGAGACGAGGTCTCACCAAGTTACCCAGCCTGGTCTTGAATCCCTGGGCTCAGGCAATCCTCTCGCTTCTGCCTCCCAAAGTGCTGGGATTATAGTTACAAGCCACCATGCCTGGCCAAAGCTTTTAAAAAATTTCTGTCCAAAAAAAATGAAAAGATTGGTAATACAGATACCATTATGTAGATAATATTTCTCTCTTGTTGACTGAACTGTCGGTGTCTTTTTAAAATGCTTTTTTGTATTTCCCAGATAAGTGCTATTTAAAAATTGAGTTCCTTCCCTCGAGATGTAGGTTTTCCATGCTTGGGTGAAGCCTCAGTCTGGAGGAAAGGGTCCCCCTTCTCATGGCTCCTTGTTCCTTCCCTCCAGGTAAAACTGCAGCTTTTGCCCTGCCGGTTTTGGAGCGTCTGATCTACAAGCCCCGCCAAGCCCCGGTGACCCGTGTACTGGTGCTGGTCCCCACCCGAGAGCTGGGCATCCAGGTGCACTCAGTCACTAGGCAGCTGGCCCAGTTCTGCAGTGTCACCACCTGCCTGGCTGTGGGTAAGTGTCTAGCTGAGGGCCACCAGCCCGAGATAGTGACCTGGTGGGGGATGGACATGCCTTGTCACCTGTAGGGTGTTGGGGACTGGGAAAGGCTTTTATGTTGACTGACTTCACTTCAAAACTGGAAGACACATTTCCATGGGGACGAATTTGCTTGAGACTTTACTGACATTGAAAAATGACATCTCAAAATTGTGACAAAAGCCTTTTTCTTGGTAATGAAACAAAGGATATAATTTCTGCTTAGTGAGAATGAGGAAATCAGTGTTTTGGGCAGAGCTTTTGTGATGCTGTTATATGACTGTATTATCTTACCTGCATTTTGCCTTCTTATGCATTTGGAAGTTAAAAGTGATTTTTGTCTCTGTGTACAGAGACCTCGTCAATTTCCATAGCTGCTGCTTGGATGTTTCAGTCATCCTGTCCTATGTGCTTTTGTGTTATCCTTTTTTTGCACAATTGTAGTTATATAACCTGTCTCCCAGTGTATTTGAAGACCCTCGCGGGTGGGGCCTCAATCCTGTTCTGTGGTTTCCTCTGCACCTGGCTGAGCCCTGGAAGGAGGCAGCTGCTCAGCAGCGGCATGACTGACCTGGTTTCCTGGGGCTGTCCTCCCTGCAGGTGGCCTGGACGTGAAGTCTCAGGAGGCAGCTCTTCGGGCGGCCCCTGACATACTCATTGCCACACCGGGGCGGCTTATCGATCACCTCCACAACTGCCCCTCCTTCCACCTGAGCAGCATCGAGGTGCTCATCCTGGATGAGGCTGACAGGTACACCTCATGGGTGGGCCTGGCCCAGGTGTGGCCTGCCACCCTGCATCGTTCTTTGTGGCTGTTGGCTCTTGCCTTTGGTCTGTGGTGCCAGGTCAGCTGCTCACCCTTGGGCCTCTGTCCAGCTTTAGCCCACATTTTCCTGTTTTCTCTTTCTCTAATATGAGGGTTATGAGGTAACGGTCACAGGCAGCCTCTGCCACTTCCAATTGAGATTTGGAAATTTTTTTTTTTTGAGTTGGAGTCTCCCTCTGTCACCCAGACTGGAGTGCAGTGGCACGCTCTCAGCCACCACAGCCTTGACCTGCTGGGCTCTGACGATCCTTCCGCCTCAGCCTTCCAAGTAACTGGAACTATAGGCGCACACTACCACACCCGGCTAATTTTTGATTTATTGTAGAGACAAGGTCTCGCCAAGTTACCTGGGCGGGTCTCGAACCCACGGGCTCAGGAAATCCACTCACATCGGCCTCCCAAAGTGCTGGGATTATAGGCTGAGCCACTGAGCCCGACCGGGAAATGTTATTTAGATTCTCAAAACCTTTTCTTGTTTTAAAGTGAGGGATGAAGCTTGGGTGTGGTGGCTCACAACAGAACTTCCAGAACTTTTGGAGGCCAAGGGCAGAGGATTCCTTGAGCCCAGGAGTTTGAGATCAGCCTGGGCAATATCGCAAAACCTTGTCTCTACAAAAAAATTAAAAAATTAGCCTGGCATGGTGGTAAGCACTGGTAGTCCTAGCTACTCAGGAGGCTGAGGCAGAAGGATCGCCTGAACTTAGGAGGTCAAGGCTGCGGTGAAGCTGTGATTGTGCCAGTGCCCTCCAGCCTGGGTGACAAAATGAGAGCTAAACTCAAAGAAAAATCGGGATGAGAACAGCACATGTCTCATGGTGTGGAGGATCCGAGGCATCTTGGGGGGAAGTGCCAGGGCCAGGCCTGATGAC